ATTTCTCCTTAATTTACAAATGAGAGTTTCACTGCATACAGTATTCTGGTGTGACAGTTTCTTTCCTTTAGGAGTTGGACTAAGTTTCTTCATTCTCTTGTAGCAGATGAGGTTTCTGATCAGAACTCAGCTGTCAATCTAGTTGAAGACACTTTGAAAATAATTTTTCTTGAACATTTTAGGATCTTTTCTTTGTGTTTTACCTATGAAAGTTTGACTGTAATGGGTTGAGGTAAAGACCTTTTCTGATCATTCTTACTTGTGGTTCTATGTGCTTCCTGTAATTGGATGTCCACATATTTCTCCAAATTAGGAAAATTTTCTGGCATTACTTCACTGAGTAAGTCTTCAAATCATTCTGTACATCCCTGCCTTCAGAAAGTCCTAACTCATGTATATTTGGTCATTTGATGGTATCCCAAAACTCTCAAATGCCATGATTTTTTTTTTTGCTTTCAAACTTTTATTTAATGAATATAAATTTCCAAAGTACAGCTTATGGATTACAATGGCTTCCCCCCATAACGTCCCTCCCACCCGCAACCCTCCCCTTTCCCACTCCCTCTCCCCTTCCATTCACATCAAGATTCATTTTCGTTTCTCTTTATATACAGAAGATCAGCTTAGCATACATTAAGTAAAGATTTCAACGGTTTGCTCCCACACAGAAACATAAAGTGAAAAATACTGTTTGAGTACTAGTTATAGCATTAGATCTCAATGTACAGCACACTAAGGACAAAGATCCTACATGAGGAGTAAGTGCACAGTGACTCCTGTTGTTGACTTAACAAATTGACACTCTTGTTTATGGCCTCAGTAATCAGCCTAGGCTCTTGTCATGAGCTGCCAAGGCTATGGAAGCCCCCTCAGTTCACTGACTCTGATCGTGATTTGTTTTTCTAATCCTTTTTTTTCTATTTTCAAAGATTTGTTTTCTAGCATGGATATTCTTTCTCCTGCCTCACTAAATCTGTTGTTAAGGGTCTCCTCTGTACTTTTTGACATATTGAATTCTTCATTTCTAATATTTCATTTGATTTTTTTAATATCTACCTCCCAACAGAATTCCTTGTCATGTTTGATGATAACTGCACTGTAGTATGTCTTGAAATCTGGTATCGTGATGTCTCAGGCATTATTTTGTTGTTTAAGATTGCCTTAGCTCTTCAGGGCCTCTTGTATTTCCCCATAAATTTTTGGTATCACTTTTCCAGATATGAGAAGAATGTCCTCGATATTTTGATTTAATCATGAGGAATCTGTAAATTGCTTTTGGTAATATGGATATTTTGATGATATTAATTCTAATCCACAAACGTTGATGATTTTGCCATTTCTTTGTGTCTTCTTCTATTTCTTTCTTTAATACTTTATAATTTTCATTGTAGAGATCTTTTATATTTTTAGTTAAGTTTATTCCAAGTTATTTAAATTTTGTTTTGTAGCTACTATGAATGGCATTGATCTTACAAGTTTGGAAGCATTTCCACTAAGATCTGGAACCAGACAAAAATGTGCACTTTCAGTTTTGCTATTCAATATACTTCTGAAAATTTTAGGCATAGCTATTAGTCAAGACAAAAAATCAAAGCAATAAAAATTGGAAAGGTGGAAGACCAATTATCCCTGTTTGCAGATGGCACAATCCTAGATATAGAGGCACCAAAAGACTCCACTAAGAGACTATTAGAACCAACAGATTCCTGAAGACATTAATAAAGTTGCAGAACATAAAATCAAAACTCAAAAATCAGTAGCCTTTGTGTACACCAACAATGCCATGGCTGAGAAAAATTTGCAAGATCAGGGCCATTCACAAGAACTTTACAAAATTTAAACACTGTGTTGAAGCTTTTTTAAAGTTAAAGTATTATTTTTTTAAGCAGCTTCAAAATCTATTTTATTTTGTACCTCACTCAGTATCACTTGACTTTCAGTTTCGTTGCATCTTATCCATCCCAAGAATGAATGCTTCCTTTAAAAATCATTGTTGCTTTGGGAAATGAAAGTTGGTATTTCATTATTCTTTCATCACAACTAAATTTTTAATTTTTTAATAATTTATTACTCATGTGGTGTTTTATTATTCCTGTGGTGTTACTCAAAAAATTGTCAATCTTTTCAGATTTTGTACAGAAGTATAATTTTATTTATGATATAAATTAAATACATGAGCTGATCAAGTCACTGTTTCTCATAGTGTCCATTTCACTTCAACAAGTTTCCCCTTTGGTGCACAGTTAGTCCTGACGGTTGATGTACAATGTAATACTTTATCCATTTTAGTATTTTTTTTGTTCTAGTACCATTGGTTGAACTCTGTAATTAACACACAATTATTCTTAGGTGTTTAAATTTTAACTGAAAAGTGATCCCTGTTAGGAATTTGGAAAACATTATGTTGAGTGAAATAAGCCAATCCCAAAGGGACAAATACCACTTGTTCTCCTTGATAGGTGACAACTAACTGAGCACCAAAAAGGAAACCTGTTAAAGTGAAATGAATATTATGAGAAACGGTAACTTGATCAGCCCTCACCCTGACTGTTGATGAGCAGCTTAATATGTTATCCCTCTTAGTATTTCTTTTGTTTGTTCTACTTAATACTTTTGGTTGAATACTGTAATCAATACACAATTCTTCTTAAGTGCTGAAACTTAACTGAAAAGTGATCACTGTTAAATATAAGAGTGGGAATAAGAGAGGGAAGAGATGTGCAATTCGGGACATGCTCAAGCTGACTTACCTCAAACGGTAGAGTTAGAAACATACCAGGGGATATTCGAATTCAATCCCATCGAGGTGGCATGTACCAATGCCATCTCACTAGTCCCAGTGATCAATTTCTGTTCACAATTGATCTAATGATAGGACTAAGAACCAAAGTGATCACATAAACAAGAATAGTGTCTGCAAATACTAGCTGATAGAATCAAAAAGGAAGAGAATGATGCAACATGGGAAGTGAGATACACAGCAGACCCATAGAATGGCAGATGTCCTAATAGCACTCTGGCCTCATAATCAGCCCTTAAGGCATGCGGATCCGCCTGAAATGCCCATGAGAGTATTTCAGGCATGGAAAGCCAAGACACTCTGGGGGAAAAAAAAACCTAAATGAAAGACCTCTGTGAGTGAGATCCCAGTGGAAAGAACGGGTCATCAAAGAAGGAGGTGCCTTTCTCTGAAGGGAGGAGAGAACTTCCACTTTGACTATAGTCTTGTCTAAAAATGATCAGAGTCAGTGAACTCAGGGGGCTTCCGTAGCCTTGGCAACTCATGACAAGAGCCTAGGGTGATTACTGATGCCATAAACAAGAGTGTCAATTTGTTAAATCAACAACAGGAGTCACTGTGCACTTACTCCTCATGTAGGATCTTTGTCCTTAGTGTGCTGTACATTGAGATCTAATGCTATAACCTGTACTCAAAGAGTATTTTTCACTTTATGTTTCTGTGTGGGAGCAAACCATTGAAATCTTTACTTAATGTATGCTAAGCTGATCTTCTGTATATAAAGAGAATCGAAAATGAATCTTGATGTGAATGGAAGGGGAGAGGGAGTGGATAAGGGGAGGGTTGCGGGTGGGAGGAATGTTATGGGGGGGAAGCCATTGTAATCAATATTATGTACTTTGGAAATTTATATTCATTAAATAAAAGTTAAAAAAAACAAAAAAATAAATTAAATACATGCACATGCATATATTTTGAAGCAATTTACTGAACCATTTGTGTTTTAATATTTGACAATATTGATAATAATTAAAATGATTCACATTTGTATAAAATATGGGGCCAGAAGGAATGCAAAGGAAAAAATATTTCCACCAAAAAGAAGACACTGCAATCATGTTTGTGAAGTCATTTTGAAAAAGTAATTACTAGTATCCATTTCATAATCTTTCAACTTACATGTAATTTTTGGTGCCAAAATTTCACAAATTCTTTGTACATCTGGCCATTTTTATGGAATTGTCATGACTGCTGGTCACTTCTCCTTGCTGTTCTGATGACTATTGCTGTTCTGATGACTGTAGTTTAAAACATTCATCATATGCTTTACCACACACACCCATATTTACCCAGTGATGTGCCTTTTCCTGTCTTCAAATTTTCTTATTTGCTTTTGAATTCATTGAGAAAATGTATTTATTATACAGAACATGCATTTTTGATGTGTATTTGCATAACCGAATAGTTAAATCTGGCTATTCAACATATCATTACATCACACAGTTATTATCATTGTTGTAGTTATAACACTGTCCACTCTCATCACTTTAAGAATACAACATATTGTTATTAACTGTTATAACGTGGTTGTACAACAGATCTCTGGAACTTACTCTTTCTACATAACTGTAATTTCACATCCCCACCTGCATCCCTCATCCCACTGCCTCAGCCGCTGGTAACCACTATCTAGGCTCTATTTCTGTGAGATCAATTTATTTCAGATTCTACTTATGAGTGAGATCATGCAGCATTTGTCTTCATGCTTGGCATTTTTCACTTATTATAATGTCCTCCAGGTCCATCCTTTTGTTGCAAATGATGGGATTTTCTTTTTTCTTAACAGCTGAATAATATTCAGTATCTATATCACTTGTTCTGTATCTATTCATCTATTGGACATTTACATTGGTTCCACATCTTAGCTATAATGAATAGTGTTACAATAAATATGGGACTGCAGATATCTCTTTGACATAGTGATTACATTTCCTTTGCAAATATCCAATACTGGGATAGCGAGATCACATGAATAATGCTGCTTTTTATAAATCATCTTGGTTGTTAATAAGTTGTGGATGAAGTTGGAATTAGTTTTAAACTACTCCCCCATGTAAACAGTTGGTTGGTGGAATAACTTAAACTCATAAATGATTTTGAGAAAATTGATATATTAGTGTCCACAAATGTAAAACGCACCCATTTGCACATTACATATTTCACTGGTTTTATAGATACATAGGAACAAGCTTTATTTTTTTCTCTTTATTTAGCTCTTCTTCAGATCAATTCTTGGCATGCCTTAAAATTGTGTTATTTTCAGGAAAGTATCTTCATTCTTTACTCTCCTAGAATATTTTGTGCTGGGAAAAAGAAATGCAACAAAAACAAAGTCAAGAAACAAAGAATATGTAGAATAACTGTGCATGTCTCACAAATATACCAACAGACCAACTTCCTGTAGACATAGTGGCTCTGCAAGGAAGCTTGTTCCATACTTAGTCCCATAATTCTACCTAACTGCAGCAATAAACAGGTTTATGCCCATTATGCAAACTCAGTTTATTTCCCACATTTATTAAGCACTCATTGGGCTGATGGATGATAAAACCGGCATGATAAGAGTGAAGCATTACAATTTTAGTAGATTTATGAGAAAACCTTAAGACTGTGTCATCCTTGTAAGGGTAGAGAGCGTGAACCATTCATAATGAGACTACTTTTGGCCTTTTCATCACTGTCCCTACTGGTCTAGAACGGTCTCTGTGACCTAGAGAACCTCTCAAAGAATCTGACGTTTCTATGGATGGGGCAAGGTTGCCACTGAACTCAAGGACATGGAGACAAAGAGCCCTGGTCTGAGCCCACGTGGACAAAACCCTAAAGGGTCATTCCTTTCCTCATGACGGTGATATTGACACAGCTACAACCCACTCTGTTGACAGCTACAGGATTTACTCACTCCTTTTCCACATCCTGAATGGTGTTAGGAAGAGGCTGATTCCTGGTTTCCGGAAGGCAGAAGACAATCAGGCCACAAAGGATGGGGAAGACTCCATACATGATCCAGGGCAGGTGGGGAGAATACACCACTACGGCCATAAAGAGGGGAGCCAGCACTGTTCCAATTCTTGAGAACAAATTATTGATTCCTGAAAATGTTGACCTTTGTGTGCAAATAACAATACAGAGAAAATTTTGTAGATATACACATGCAACATCTTATTTATCATCTTGCTTTCAGTTTGGGGTATACTGAAACAGTTATTAAACACAGCAAACCCTTAATAGTGTGATTTACTGCTTTTTGTCCCTGTTTGATTTTACAATGTTGGCAATTGCTTGAAACCTCAATTTCATCATTATTGAATAGCGATCAACGTAGCATGATTGTGTAGAGTGGTTCTTAAGGTAAATGAAATGGTGCATTTTTGGACATGGTCCATTTTCAGGTATAAAGTTAGCTTTAATAATTGTGATTATTGGTTGTTGCCTTCATTTGCATCACCATTTATTCCTCTGACATCTAAACAGTTTCAATTTTATTACTAAAATAATTGTCAAGTGTTCCAGAAAAGTTCTGCTTGGAAAGCAAACATATGGCCTCTTGGTTCTTGTACCTGCATATAGTAGGGATGAGTTCTACAGACTGGACTGAGAAAATAGCAAGGGCAGCAGAAACAGCACCGATTCCCAAAGTGGCTAAAATCACACATAGAGTCTGCATTTCTGGAGAAAGGAAGACCAGCGAGAGTTAGAAAACCTTGGATGGAGAAATCCTACAAATAACTGTGGAACAATACTGCTGGAAGGTTGGTGGGGGGTTCTGGTATATGATCTAATGCATACAAAGCGCACATCCCAGATGTTATGGAATGGTTCATACATGGATGAATGTAGACTGCAGAATGTCATGGCTTAAACAAGAGTGAAAATTTTTCAATCAATAGCTTAAAGTCTTTCTGCAAATTTGAGTAATTGTTACTTTTCCAGTGTTCCTGTGCACTTTGTAAGACATATATGTATTTACAGAGAATAAATGCATGTATGCTTATTATAGGCCATTTATTATTATGTGTTATATATAACATTGGTAATTTCATATGTACTTACTGTATATACATATATCACATGTAATTGGAAATAATCAAGTATTGAACAGTTTACACTTAAGAGTGTGGGCAACCATTTTTGATGTAGGAAGGGATTCTACCAAGCAGTAACAAACAGATTGTGCTTATTTAGAGTGGATAGTGTGAAGAGACACAAGATCTAGAATAATATTTCAGGAAAGAGTAGGACTCATATTCCCAAGATGCAATGTCATCCTGGGAAACATTAACACTAAAATTTTCAAAAAGGAACTATTAAAACTTATAAAATTCAATGAAAATTATCAAATAGGACCTTAAACATTGGAGAAGTCTCTTGAATAACTGCAGTTATTTTACTGTAGTCAAAGAGTTTCTCTTAAAATTCTTTTGCATTTAGGTTGACTCAGATGGCAGACTTTTTTTAAAAAAGTGAATATGAAAAGATGAGTGAGATGCCAAGGCAGGAAGGCCTTAACACTGGAAAGAGTCCCAGACATACGTGATGAGAGCACTGTGTGCGTGTTTGGGTATTCAACGGCAAGGCCTATCACTTCCATTTGTATTAAAGCATGATTAGCTGGTGCCGCAGCTCACTAGGCTAATCCTCTGCCTGTGGCGCCAGCACACCAGGTTCTAGTCCTGGTTGGGGCTCCGGATTCTGTCCCAGTTGCCCCTCTTCCAGGCCAGCTCTCTGCTGTGGCCCGGGAGTGCAGTGGAAGATGGCCCAAGTGGTTGGGCCTTGCACCCCATGGGAGACCAGGAGAAGCACCTGGCTCCTGCCTTTGGATCAGTGCAGTGCGCCAGCCGCGGCGGCCATTGAAGGGTGAACCAATGGCAAAAGGAAGACCTTTCTCTCTGTCTTTCTCTCTCTCACTGTCCACTCTGCCTGTCAAAAAAAAAGCATGATTAGCCAACAGTCTGTGCTATAACTGGTAGAGAGGTGTTCTGTGTAGTCGGTACTGGTGTCCAGGTTCATCCTGCTTGTCATAAAGACACCTGTGTATCTGAGTCACCTCTTGCAGACACATTGGAGCCTAAGACATGCCAACAACTAGTTACCAGGATAAGTTTCAAACCATCTTAATAACTTCAGGCAAACCTTCAGTTCTCAAAGCCAATGGCATTCTTTGGCATACTAAACTAAAGACCCATATAAACCCACATAATTCCTGAGGACTGAGGGAAGCTAATTCCTTCCCCCAAACTCCTGCATCTCTCACCTTTGAACAAAAAGGTGTTGACCAGAATGCAAAGTCCTGCCAGTAAGGAAAACAACGACTGACTGATCCGACGATCCATGTATTTCATTATCAAAAGGATAATACATCTTGATATGAATGTGACAGCTCCAAAGAGGATCTGGAACATGAAGATACTGCTCCCCAGTTCCTGTAGGTTGAGTATCAAGCCGTAAAAGGGCACAGTGCCTCCAAGCCTGAAGTGAATAAAGGAATAAAGACAAATTTAATAGGCTTAGAGTCTAAAAACTGTCATTTACAATTTTGAAGGCAAGTCCTATAATTGATGAAAATATTGTCCAGGTAGCTGAAGTCAATGTTACAGATGAAATTTTGTCCTGCTTCATAGCATATTTCTTCTTAAGGCAATGATTTAAATATTAAATTATTTTGGAGAATGCGATGTTTATTGCAGATTTTCTAAGGGCACAGGTGGGTGTACAAATGTACACATACTTCAGTAGAAGATATTAAAACCCTCATACAGAAAAAGTAATATGAAATCCGAGTTCATCACTAACTGGACATTACAAAGAATTCACCTGATGTACAGTTATATGTTGGAAACTAGGGAGTATTTATTTATTTATTTCTGCCAAGGTTTGACATTCTGTGAGATTCTCTTCTCTGCTTCCCAATATGGACCCCTTCTTCACCTTAATCCTTATGTGTGAGGCTGCAAGAACTCTTACAGGTAAGAACTTTCCATGTGTTTTCTGATTGAAGCATATAGAGACCTGACAGTTTTAAGCAATCTAAGAGCTATAAATGATGAACTATGAACCTTAAGCAACAGAATTGAGACAAGGAGTGTGGCAGCTTAGTATATTTTTAGTAATATATTTCAAGGATATATGGATTTACTCATAGATCAGTAAGGGCTCTGGAAGAGAACTGACTGGGAGTCATTTGAATTCCTGTGTGCGAAGAAGGAAGAAGAAAAAAGGGTTAGGGTGGGCCAACTAATGTACATAACACCCTGCCAAATTCACAGGGCCTAGAGAGATAGGTATTTGCAGCAGTCAGAGGAAAATACATTTCCTATATCACAGGAAATGCAGAGAGAGGCTAAAAGGCATTTTGAGGCCTCCAAAGAATCTATATAAAAGTGTCCAGGGTAGGAATCTGCTTTGATCACCTACTATACCTGAGATCCTTTATTTAACACCAGTCAGTTATTTGTTTCCCATTAGCTCTTCCCTTTTACCTGAATGAGTATGTAGAATGTAGAAACCTGGACCACAGACCAGAGGTGTGGAAAGAAATCCCAACATGATGACATAGAGCAGTGTCTTATACAACATCTTTGTCCACTTGAATGAATTGTATTATATAGAACACTACAAAAGTAACTGTAGAAAATATGTATTTTAAAATGTTTGTATTTGTCAAAATAGAATATATTTTGGGTTATTAAATTGAAGGACAATAACCCAGAGTCAAGTATAGAGTAATAGATCTAAAAAAATGAACAACAACCAGATTGTTCTTAGATATTTGGAAATAAATCACAACATTTATATAAAACTTTAAATCAAAACCACAATGAGTTTTCACCTCACCCCGGTGTTAATGGCTCACATACAGAAATCCACTAACAACAGATGCTGGCAAGGATGTTAGGAAAAAGGGACACTAACCCACTGTTGGTGGGAATGCAAACTGGTAAAGCCACTATGGAAGTCAGTTTGGAGATTCTTCAGAAACCTGAATATAATCCTGCCTTATAACCCAGCCATCCCACTACTTGTAATTTACCCAAAGGAAATTAAATTGGGAAAGAAAAGAGTTGTGTGCACCTCAATGTTTATTGCAGCTCAATTCACAATAGTTAAGACATGGAATCAACCTAAATGCCCATCAACAGAAGACTGTATAAAGAAAAAATGAGGAAGATTATATAGAGAGGAGTTCCAAGATGGCAGGAGAGGGAGGGAGCACACTGATAGTCCGGGAAAGACAGTTTAATAAAAGTGGAGATACCGCAGGTTCAGGGAAAAAACTGTATAGGAATCTCTGCCAGAACTAGTGGGACATGGTGGACCTACGTGGAGGGAACGGGCACCCATGGCTCGGGACCCCAGCTGCCAAATCTACGCACCAGTGCTGGAAAGGGAGGTGAGGTGAAACCTCAATAGCCTGAGGCACTGGTGGGAAAGAAGCAAGAAGAGCCTAGAGGGAACAAGGCTTGAAGCCCTGTGGGAGAAAGTTCACCAGGCTAACTAGAGGAGAGAGAAAAATAAAAAATAAAAAAATAAATAAAAGGGACGGGTACGGAAACCATTCTCTCTCCACTCACCTTACAAAGGCGAGCAAGACAAAGAGCAGGCACGATTTTGGACATATGTAAAGCTGCACCACCTCAGGGCTGCTCCGCTATCAGCCAAGCAGGAAAACCTGGCTCTAGTGGGGAGAAATAACAGGATGTTGGGACCCAGTGAATGTGTGGAGGTTGTGACTGAGACTATGAAAAAAGAAGGACTGAGGGTGTGTGAGAGAACTCACGGAGTACCTGAGACATGAGTGCTCTCGGGAGATGCTACAAAATTGGTAACTTTGGAAACCTGGTGGGAGATTGCAGGGGAATTTGAGCTTCCACTGAGGTCTGCACAGATCCTTTGTGTGGTCCTTGGGACAGAGCAGATGAATATTATACCCGAATGGGTCAGAGCTCAGACACTACTGCCTTCAACTCCACTCAGCTATGCGGAATTACTTCCCTTCTGAATAAAGAAAAAAAAATAGAGAGTGAGAGAGAGATAAAGAGAGAGAGAAGATTTACCATGCCTAATCTGGGTGTGTCACCTTTGTCACACCCTTAACCCTGAAGAACCAAACAGAGCTCGCTGGCCACACCCATCACAAGCCTCTAAGGATCCATCAAAAGCAGACAGTTCACTTAATATAGAGTCATAGTATAATGAGACAAAACACCACAGTGAGGGAAAAAAAAGGAGAAGAAACCAAATATCTCAACAATGCTAAGCAAGAAATGCAGAAACCAAGGAAACAAGAACAAGGAAGACATTATGACACCCCAAAATGAACAAGACACCCAAGCCAAGATTATGAAGATGATGAGATAGAAAAAAAGGCAAGATACAGATTTCAAAAAAATTATGATAAGAACATCTAGAAGTTCTCAAAAAACAAATTCTTGAACTACAGAAATACTTAATGGACAGGATAGAAAATATCTCTCATGAAAATGAAATCTTAAGGAGAAATCAAATGAAATGAAGAATCTAGTAGAACATGAAACTGTGATATCGAAGAGAAATAAAAAAGAAATGAAGAATTAAATAGATCAAATGACAAACACATTAGAGAGCCTTAAAAACAGAATCAGTGAAGCGGAAGACAGAATATTGGATGTAGAAGACAGAGAACAGGAAAGTAGTCAGTCAAACCAAAGAAAAGAAGAGGTAATCAGAAACCTAAAAAATATTGTTGGTAATCTATAGGATACTATCAAAAAAACCAACATTCAGGTTCTAGGAGTTCCTGAAGGCACGGAGAGAAAGGATTAGAAGGCCTTTTTAGTGAGATACTAGCAGAGAACTCACTCTCTGGGTTTGGAGAAGCACAGAGACATCCTAGTACAGGAAGCTCATAGACCCCTAGTAAACATGACCAAAAGAGATCCTCACCATGACACGTTGTAATTAAACTCACCACAGTGAAACATAAAGAAAAGATCCTAAAATGTGTGAGAGAAACGTCAGATTACTCTCAGAGGATCTCCAATCAGACTCACAGCTGACTTCTCATCAGAAACTCTACAAGCTAGGAGGGAATGGTGAGATATAGCCCAGGTACTAAGAGAGAACAACTGCCAGCCCAGAATATTATATCCTGTAAAGCTATCATTTGTGAATGAAAGTGAAATAAAGACTTTTCATAGCAAACAGAAATTGAAAGAATTTGTTGGCACTTGTCCAGCCCTGCAAAAGATGCTTAAAGATGTGTTACACACAGAAACACAGAAACACGGTCATCAATATGAAAGAAGGTAAAGGAAGGAAAGCTCACAGCAAAAGATCACAGGGAATTCAAAGCATATATTAGAACTTATCTTTGGCAAATGGCAGGGCAAAGTTACCACTTATCATTAGTCACATTGAACATGAATGGCCTGAACTGTCCAGTTAAAAGACACCGATTGGCTGATTGGGTTAAGGAACAAAACCCAACTATTTGCTGCTTACAAGAAACACATCTTTCCAACAAAGATGCATACAGACTGAAAGTGAAAGGCTGGAAAAAGATATACCATGCTAACAGAAATGAAAAAAGAGCGGGCGTAGCCATCTTAATATCGGACAACATAAACTTTACCACAAAAACTGTTAAGAGAGACAAAGAGGGGCACTATATAATGATTAAGGGATTAAAACAACAAGAAGATATAACAATTATCAATGTATATGCACCTAACTACAGGGCACCAGTTTATCTAAAAGATTTGTTAAGGGACTTAAAGGGAGACTTAGACCCCAATACAATAGTACTGGGGGACTTCAATACTCCACTCTCAGAAATAGACAGATCAACTGGACAGAAGATCAACAAGGAGACAGTAGATTTAAACGACACTATAGCCCAAATGGATCTAACAGATATATACAGAACTTTCAATCCTACAGCTAAAGATTTTACATTCTTCTCAGCAGTACATGGAACCTTCTCTAGGATTGACCACATACTAGGCCATAAAGCAAGTCTCAGCAAATTCAAAAGAATTAGAATCATACCATGCAGCTTCTCAGACCATAAAGGAATGAAGTTGGAAATTAGCAACTCAGGAATCCCTAGAGCATACGCAAACACAAGGAGATTGAACAACATGCTCCTGAATGAACAATGGGTCAGAGAAGAAATTAAAAGAGAAATCAACAATTTTCTGGAAGTAAATGAGGATAACAACACAACATACCAAAACTTATGGGACGCAGCAAAAGCAGTGCTAAGAGGAAAGTTTATATCAATAGGTGCCTACATCAAGAAATTGGAAAGGCACCAAATAGATGAGCTTTCAATTCACCTCAAGGATCTAGAAAACCTACAGCAAACCAGACCCAAATCTAGTAGCAGAGGAGAAATAAATAAAATCAGAGAAGAAATCAACAGGATTGAATCCAAAAAAACATTACAAAAAATCAGCCAAACGAGGAGCTGGAAAAAAAAAGAAACAAAC